TAATGAGAACTTGCCTTTTATATATTGTTTATATGATGTAAGTTGTGCTTATGTGTACAACAAAGGAGTCCTTGTTGATATGTTTCAAAATTTCAGCTACTATTTCAATAAAATATTGCAATCGTTTCCCGTGGACGTAGGTCAGTTGACCGAACCACGTAAATTCTTGTGTTCCCTTATCTTTACATCTCTGGTTTGGTTTATTGCTTGCAACTCGCTTATATGTATGCTTTCATTTATTTAGCAATGTTTAAATCCATTATATTAATTCCTCTTGTGGGTTTTTTTTTTGTGATATTATTAGCATGGCTAATAAAAACAAAAAAAGTTATCACTCCTGCACTTTGGGAGAAAGACACCAAATTAATATCTTGTGACCTATGCATATGGGAAATTGATAAGAGAAATAGACAAACGACATTTTTCAATAAGAAAAGTTGGGATAACATCATTAGCAAATTCAAGGAGATGACAGGTAGGGAATATGATAGACTCCAATTGAAGAATAAATGGGATCAGCTTAAGAAAGATTGAAAACTGTGGAATGATTTGAAGCGTGGCTCCACTGGATTAGGATGGGATCCAGTGAATAGAAAAATTGAAGCGTCCGAGGATTGGTGGCAAGAACGGCTTGCGGTAAGATTTTATTTAGTTATTCTTTTTAATTTTAATAAGTTCTGTTTTTTATTTCTAATAACCATTCATTCTCTTTTGCAGATTGTTCCTGCGGCAAAGAAGTTTAGATTGGCTGGGATTGAACCAGAATTGGAGGGCAAGTTACAGATGATGTTTGGTGGGGTGGTAGCTACAGAGAAATATTCAGCTGCCCCTAGCCAAACAGTTTTCGAAACAACCCCCGAGAATGTGGCCGTGGAATTGTCAAATGATTCTGCAGAATTCCGCAGTGTTGAGCCACCTGAAATTCAATCCACCAACCGTGCGAAGCGCCCCCGGAACGAACGTAAGAGAAAGAGTGGACCTGCATCTATGAGGGAGCAGCTCTCATACCTAGTCGACTCATCTAACGATGCCCCTCACAGAGTTCAAAAAACCTCGGTTCATGAGGTCATTAGTCTTCTTGAGGAAGATCCAGAATTTACAGGGGATCGTGATCTTTTCTACTTTGCAGTAGACCTCTTTCGTGATTCCCTCCACCGAGACTTCTTCACAACACTGAGCAAAGAGCGACGACTGGAATACATACGCTATTATTATAACCGTCGTGACTTGTGAAGTTTAGCTCCTCATTAGTTCACATTGTGTTACTGCTGCACTTCACTTCATCTATGATTACTCCTGATAGTACACTTTTTCATTTGTGGTTGTTCGTCATTTTTATGAAACTGATTTAACTTCATTCCAAATGATTTTTAAGTTATTTGTTTTCCAATTAAAGTTCATATGTTTGGTTGTTTTATTCCATCTATGAGCTTAACTGTATTTCAAAGTGTAATGTATAGTTCATATCGTCATGGACCCAGAGGAAGTCCGACGTCGACGTCGAAATGCAGCCATAAATATACTAGTGCATTACTATAACACGTATGTGGACCGTGAGCCGTGTTACACATCATCTCAGATTGGAGACAAATGGATGGGAGAAATGATTTCAGGACACCCAACGAGATTTCAAAACATCTTCCGCATGTCCTAGGATGTTTTTAGTGATCTATTATTAGATCTAAAAACATCTCATGGACTTCACAGATCTTCTAGGACAACAGACCGTGAAGTATTAGACATAACACTTTATATTTTATTACAGAACGAGTCAATCCGGGGAGCCATGAAACGCTTCCAACACTCATTTGAAACAATAAACATATATTTCTCAGTTGGTTTGAGTTCTCTTGTCAGT